TAGGATCATAACAACCTAGTAGAAATTCCCAAACTTCTCCTCTAATTGATGGATGAATTCCCTGATTGCCAAATATAATATAATTATGGATTGAAGCTGACTACTAGCCTTGCAAATTGATTATTTCATGAGGAAAACTATTTAAAAGAATAAGTTAAAGATATCCACAAAATGAAGAACTAGTACCAGGCTAATAACAGCTGGAAGGTCAAACAATAAAGCATCTATGTTATTTCGTGCGCAAGTACTACTTAAATAAAATTAAATAATAGTTAATCTGATTTTTTCACTAAACTGATGGCTCTGATTTCATAGATATTTCCTATCATGTAAGCAGGCTAAGGGTAGGCTTTTCATTTGATTTTACAATAAAAAAACAACAACAACAAAAACAGAAAAAAGTGATTCCATAAAGACGAGTATTGATAGGATTGTCGAGACACTCTGATAGCTACACAGAATGAAAAACTGATTTTTATAAATATAACGAAAATTCTAGCATACTAAGTGGCGCAGCTATGAATTATGAAGATTCACTCACCCCGCGATAAATTCGACTTAAAGTCTTGCCGATATCCAGTTGGCCTTCAGGACTAAATGCAGCCTGCCATTTCCTTACACTAAGAGTTTTACCTGCCTGCATGAGCAAATAGAAATAAGGCGTGGAAATTGGAAGAAGCACATCATGGTAATGAGACATTGAAATCATTATGAAGTAATAAGATAATTGCAAAATGCAAACATATTTTATAGAATACACAATGAATCTTTATCAGTTTCTCAATGTTTACAAGCCTTAATATAATCAACTCATATTCTTATAAGAGCTAACCCCCATGAACCATAATCTAGATCAATGTTCCGATCCATAGTTCTTTGGTGATCCAGCAAAAATTAGCATTACAAACATATCTTGATATATGGAGAAGGAGAAAGAGATAAAAATGTCCAAACTTCAGAAAAATTTCAAACAAAAGATTCTGACATGCTGGAGTTTGAGGAAAATTTTTGTGCAAATATAGCTATATTTCCCTTAAATGCTCACAATTTATCAATTTCATGTTCGTGCACGTAAGCGTTTATGCATTCAGAATTTCTTTAAAGTTGTGCATAACAACACCAGACCATCCCCAACATATTGGGTAGGCGTTACCGAGTAGGAGCATATTGACTCTCGGATCCATATTGAGAACCAACAAGATCCTGATAACTCCAATTTTTATCACCCGAATAATCCTATATCTATCCTACATTCTCCTTGCAAAATTCAACAAGCTGACCAATTAATGTTAACATTAACACTGTCCCCAACATTCTTCCTTCCAAAAATTCTATAAAATTGGAAAATGCACAATATTTTGTGATCCATATGAACACAATTCATGATCTTAACCAGAATTAATCACCACCAATTATCAAATCTGATGCATTAGGCAAAATCTTAGTTTTCAAATGGGAAACAGATCAAAATTAAGATAATGGATACCCAAAAAATCAATCTTTATATCCAATTCCAACATTCAAACAAAGAACAGATGGAGAAACCTTGATCTTGAAGCGGGTTTTGGGCACATCTGTACACTCAGGGCGGACTTCATAGAAAGAATCAGCAGGAATTCCGGCGTCCCTCCACATTCCAATCCCCCAAAGCACTTTCACAAAAACACAAAAGCAATTTCCCCAAACCAACAAAAATGGCCCTCAACCAGCACTCAGAACACCCACCCCTTCTAAAAAAATCAACCAAAGCCCAGAAAAAATCTATCAAACCCCAGAAAAATTAAACTTCTGCACACCCTTTTGGATCAAGGTTTAAGGGGACCCAGATGAGGTGGTTGGAGTGCCCAATGAAGCTCCAGCTACACTAAAAAGTTCAAAACCCGACCAAAAAATGCTCTGTTTTTCTTTATTGCCTTTTTGGGTACCATCTTATCTTTTTTTCTGTGTAAAATTAGCTGGTGTGGGGGTGTGGTTGTTGACGACGATGATGATTGTCGCGGTAAATACGCTGTCAAAGTCGTGACGGGACGGCTGCCATCGCACACCACCACACCTGAGAAAACCCCACACAAATATTTATTAACTTTTTACTTTTGTTTTTAACCTCCTCTGTTTTCCTTTGCTTTGCACTCACTTTCACTGTCTCAATTTCATCGACATCTATTTATTACGCATGTAATTACCTTACATTTTAATCCTGAAATAAATTACCTGTACTTGGGTCTCCTTTTTCTCTGCGGTTAAAAAATTTACTGTTTTGTGGGATATTTTTTATTGGTTTTTTTATTTTTTTTATTTTTTTTTATATTTTTTTGGTGGATGGTTGAGAAGTTGAGTGATTTCCACGGTTTACATAGAAGGAGGTAGATTCTTTGTCCTTTTATTTTTTGTGCCTTCTTGTTTTGTGTGGTCACAGTTAAGTTACGTTAACATTTTATATTATTTTTTTTATAGAGATAATAAGACAAAAATGAATAGTAATATAAAATATTGACGTAGCTTAATCGTGACCACACAAAACAGGAGGACACAGGAAATGGAAGGGCAAAGAATATGCCTCAATAAGTGAAGTGGGTCAATTTGTGTGAATTGACTCAAATACTATATCATTTTATACAAATTTAGAATTGTATAATAGTTAAACAAGCCTTTTAAGGGAATAGATCTCTATTTTTTAAAACGGAGATGAGTTGTGGAATTCACTTTAAATCGAACTTCAACGATCCGAACCGTTTATTTTGCAAGTCTCGATTCATAGATTAAGGGTTAAAAGACCCATTGTGCGAAACTTCAAATGTTGTTGTCATGTGAACCGAACGGATCATGAATTAAAAAGCTTACAATAATGGTTTTCACAAAATGATTGCATTGTGGGGATACGAATTCTACGAAATTATTTTCCACGATCCAATTGTCAAAATTGTTTCAATATAGTACAAGAATGCATACGTAAAACATTATCAAAACTAACGTGGAGGGAGTAGGAATTGGTTCAAAAGGTTGGAAAGTTACAAACTTAGCATAACGATATAACAGATATATCACTTTTGATTTCTATTGTTTTTTTATAAAGACGCTATTTGAGAGTTCAAACCCACATTGAATATACCTAATCATCAAACTCGGTTATCGTTGAATTGTTCCCAAAAAAATTTCAAACTTCGGAGATATTTTTTAATTTTATTACTTGCCCGATGGAAAAAGGTAATTTCATAGGGCAAAGTATAAATTTCGTTAGGCCAAACCTAAAATTTATTGAGCAATGTGAAAAATATCCCCCGATTTTTTTCTTAAAAATCGAATTTCCCACCAAATTTTGGGTGTGCCCAATTGACTGACCAAAAACTCATTGGCCGAAGTGCTTTTTCCACAATTTATTTGGCCAAAATTTTGGCCCTTTTTTTTCTTCTAAAACAAGTGTTCGTCGGAAAAATTAACATTCTACCGTTTGTTTTAAATTTAAGACACTTGCTCGACAAAATGGTTCATCGGGCAAAGCCCTGACGTTTTATATTAGGCAAAGACCCCTTCTTCTTCATGCATCAGTTTATTCTCTCTTTTCTCTCCAAAATGCCCCCCACCCCACTCAAAATCGTTTCCCCTCCCTCGAACTCTCACACTTGCCATCTATTTCAACATCTATTCAACTCTCAAACTCTCACAAAGGTCTGACATCTATCCTCAATTATTTTGAATTTGTAATTTAATTTTTATGAGAATTTGGGTTGGAAAAAATTGGAGAGTTGGTGAGGGAAGGGTTTGGGTGGTGGGGGAATGATTTGATTTTGAGGGGATCAAGAAAGAGGGCGGTCCGGTTTAGGGATGGGTGATATGAGAATGGGTACGGTTTGATTTGATTCTAAAAATATTAGAATTTTTAGAAATTGCTTACAATTTTAGCATTAGCATTAATCTTGGAGTAAGAGTGAGGGCAGCACACGACCCAAGATATAAGCATGCGTAGGACCTCCGTGTTCATTCAATATTGGCTCACGAGATAGGAGTCATCATCCGAGCAAGGTGCCCTATGACTATTGATAGATGGAAGAACATCTCCCCTGAAGCGAAGTAGGGCTGATGGCAGATCTCTCGGTAAATTTGTTATTTTTTTATTTAATATTTTTAATTACTCTAGATAATTACTTAATGTATTTTTATACCTAATACTTCCTTTTTGTCTAGTTTAGATCAATTTCGAGATTGGCGTGGAAGACCAGGTACGACGGCCTACATAAACCGTCTGTGGAATGATCGGTTCATGGAGTGGAAGTACAAGCTATGCAACCACTACAGGACTTTTGAAGGTCATGAGGAAGCTCTTACCCATCCGCCTCCTGAATTTGAGCATAGGATGGACGAGTGACAATGGCTATGCGGTAATTTTCAGGATTTATAAATTCAAAAAATGGATGCCGTTCGGGTTAATGGGCGAGTGAACCAGTTTTCCATTCAGAATAAATTTACTTTTTAAGTTTCAATATAATTGTGCAAACATTATGTTTTTGTTATTGAAATAAATTTGTTTAATATTTTGATTTTAATATAATAAGATTTAGTTTATTAAATTTAAATATACCTTTGATTTGTTTTAATATTAAATAAATCGTTATTTTTAATTAAATTTTACCACGAAATCATTCGTTGGGGTTAAGATTTTAAATTTCAATTTTTTTTTTAATTATGAATCTTGCCTGACGAAATATTTGTCGAGAAATTTTAAGGTTTAATTTTTCAATAAAAATTTAAGTTTTGTCTAAGAAAACATTTTCGTCGGGTTACTTTGGTCAACACCGACTTATCTGACAAACTGTTCGTCGACGGTGTCGTCAGAAAAATTTTACTTGCCTGACGAAGTTTGGGATTCATCAATTAAAAAATTCTAACGACAAGTTTTGCATGGTGACCCTTAACCGACGGATGCCCGTCACCGTGCATATTACACGACGAACTGCTACTTTAGGGGACAAATATATTTCATCCTGCAAGTGGTTTTTTTTTTGTAGTGCAAGTACTTTCATATTGAAATTTAAGAGATAAACCACATACATAACTTTGTGCGACACAATTCACGACCAAAACATAAAAAGCGTTTACAACTGATCACTACTTTCTTGGTTCAAACTTTATTGAGACTGGAACTATGTGAAGATCGACGAGAATGCTTAAATTTTGCTGAACATGATATCAACCCCGTCAGCTGGCTTTGGAAAAGAAAGATACACCACTTCGGCATTTGGATTGCGCAATTCCCACCTGACATTCACGTACAAAATTGTGTTAAAATTTGAAAGCATACATTATATTAATCAGTAAAACTAGCTAGCTGCTATGGGTTGCGTTCCTTACTTGTATTTTGTTGACAAATGATGTAACAAGATTGCAAGCTCCATCCTAGCAAGCATGTTGCCTGCACATATTCTTGTTCCGCCACCAAAAACTTGGAATGTTCCAGGCTTTGCTGGTTCCTAATTAAAGGAGTGAAAGTGCACTGATTATGCACAAACTATTTTTAATTAATTTGCATTTGTTTCAGTAATTATGCTTACATTCCATCTATCTGGGTTAAAGATCATAGGGTCATCAAAGTTATTTGGATCTGTGTGGATATACCGAACCCAAAGAATCACATTCCAACCCTTAGGTATTTTATAACCTGCAGGAATTTACAAACTTGATTAGAATTACAGGAATTCCAAAACTTCATCACCATGCATCCAGTTTGACTTCAATATGGTTAGATCGAAAGGGCATTGCAGCAACAATTGTTAAAGTTAACATAATGTTTGTTAGTTGCATATTTTGCATGTCCGTTTATAGGCAATTTTTTGTGGAATTTAGAAAGCAATATTAATTGCCATGCTATTCTGGTGTGCGGCTGTTTTATGAACGTATAGGGAAGTTTGTTAAACACTTGTCCAAGAATGTAAGGTTTCACGTCCGAAATCTTACAAAATAAAATACGACTTATTTTAAGTGGTTACCCTATTAATTGCATCGAGACTTTTTGATTGTTGATCCCTTCTTGGTGTGCTCTTTATTTTCCTTATTTTCTTTCTCCATTTTTCTTTGGATAATGTTAGATAGACCAAATTTTTAGACCATTTTGGTAGACCACGTGATATAACGGTTGATGATTGGAGTCCTTTAAATCCTTAAAAAAAGAGACCGTCCCTTAACCGCCGCATCATGTGGTCCATCTTTTGTAAACCACGTGATCGATGTAGCAGTTGATGGTTTGACTCATTCTTCAAATCATTAAAAAAAAAGAGCTCAACCATCAACTCCCGCATCATATGATCTACAAAAATGATTTAAAATATAGCCTCCTGAACAGTTTTCAGTTCTTTTGTTTTGTGCTTTCTAGATCGGTCAGCTAGGTGTGCGTGAAAGACAGAGAGTGCAAGGCTTAGACTAAAAAGCAACAACTCGTTCTCTAAAAAAAATAAATAAAGAAAAGCAAAAAGCAACTACTCGAACCTTTTTCTCTTTTTCTTTTTATCTATAAGTGATCGTACCTTTATATTCAGCCTCCTTGGTAGCTAATCGGAAGATACATGCTGCAGAGTTAGCCATTCTTATTGTTTCTTCTACCACCTGTAAGTTTGTCTTCTGGTTAATTCCTCTAACAATTATTATTGCTAACTCTGTTCATGAAAAATATTGGAAAATAGTTGCATGCATCCCCGGGCTCATTTCTTCGTTCTTTTTCTTAATCACCTAAAGATCATTTATGTAAAAAAAAAAACAAATCAATTTGAAGATCGTTTAGTCATCTATACATCTCAAGAATGTTATTTCTTACCAAAAACATTAATTTGTAGAATACTTTTAGATGACTAAACAATCTTCAGTTGACTTGATTATCACGAATGCCCTTTTAATGGCGATAAAGAAAATAAGAAAATGAATTCCCAATATATACGAACAATGATATTCATACGGTAAGAATATGCTAATCACTAGCGGGTTGATAATTAAGGAGATGAACTCCGGGTAGAATTTGTACTTAAATTCACAGATAATACCATGTTTGTGTATTTCATTTTAGAAACATCTTCACTCGTAATCAAGTCTCCCGTCTTGTTCCGACTTATAGCTAAATTCTCATCCTGTACATATAATATAGTTCCACATATGAGCAACCTCATCAGCAAGATAACCGTAAAAGAAAATGAACATTATTACTTACTTGATCTATTTTTGGTGTTGTACATTTATTAGATTGATATACTGAATACTTAGCTTTGGGAGAATGTATGTCATTTGACTATGGGTCAGAGTGAGTGGAAATGCCTCCCACTAGAGATTAGTCATACCCTTCAAGGTGTGAGATACCTCATGCTTTGACAAATATATATATATATATATATATATAATGGATATTGATCATACATACCCGAAGCTTTTCAAGGACATTAGGGTATTTGGCAAGACAATATATAGCCCACATTGATGCAAGGGAAGTAGATGCATATCCGCCAACAACAAGGCTCACAATGTTATCGATCACCTCTTGGTCACTTAATTTATCACCTTTGTCATCTTTAATTTGCATTAGTCCATCCATCAGGTCATTTGTCAACCCTTTTTTCTGGGTTTTTTTCTTTTCCAGCTCCCTGCCGAAAATGGCCTCGAGCTTCTTCCTACACTGCACAATATTCATTCACATTCACACGTAAATGAATATATTAACGAGAAGTGATTTCCACACTCCCATTTGACATTATGCCCACCTCTAGGAAAAAAACAGAGAGATTATATTCACATATCCCAAATTACTTCTCTCACTCAAGTGTTAGTGATGTGTAGAAAATATTAAAATATTAAAAAATTAAAAAAATATGAGAGAAATAATTTGGGATGTATGAATATAATCTCCCAAAAGAAAGTGCAAGAGGTGAAATGAGGAACACAGAAATAGTGTTCTTAATTAAACCTTTTCCGGTAGATTATAGAAAAATGAACGGACATTATATTTTTATTTTTGGTGAAATTAAAACTGGAACCTGAAGAGCATGGTGAAAAGCAGATCCAGGAATGTTAAATGGTTGAGCCCTAAGTCCATCAGTCAATCCACCAAACAACCTATCAATGGTATCTAGGAGAGGTCCCGCCTCCAAACTTAAGAACAACTTTCCAATATTTTCCAAAGTCATCTGCAAGTAAAAAATATTGTGAGTATCGATGACTTGTCAACTAAATTACTTGATTCAATTAACTTATTATTTAAGTGATTTGATATTCAAGTGATATTGCAGCCCCAATATAAATAAAATAATAGTCTTAATTTTGATTAATCTATTACGGAATCATATTTGAAATACTTATTATGGTAGGATATAAAATATACAATTGTGATTTTGAGTATTTTTCATTTTAATAATAGGCTTTATTGAGAGATATTGTAGTAACCATATAAGAATTGTTCATGCTATCACAGTATACGCCATATTCCAATTCTAAACCATATAATTGTTGAGAGTTTAAGACATTCTTGACCATATGCCGACTCTTCTTCTATATATAAGTTAATTGTATTTAATTCATGTAATTTTGGTTTATTAAATTTGTGATCATGATGTCTTGTTGTATTTCACCATATATTTTACAGCAAATGTCACTTATATGCAACGAGATCAACCCCTAGCTAGCAACAATTATAATCGTATAACTCCAATTACCACACATCAGTAAAACTGCCGCATCAAACATGCATATAACACTCGAGAGAAGAAAGATGACAAGCACTCGAGATCAACTCAAGGAGTGTCAAGATGAACTTCTTACTGGCAATGAGATTTAGGTAAACAAAGAGTTGAATGCAGTTAAAACAAAAGGGACAGTTAGGTCTTTTACCTGAAAAAAAAAAAATTAAGGATAAAGTTTTTAAGAATTTTGAAAAGAAGGGCAAAAGTCTTGTTGTCCCTCTGATTTTTTTTTTTTTTTCCAAATTTCCCTAAGCCTTGAGCAATTTGAAGAACTTTGGGGTTCTTTATTTCTTTCCCCTTCTCCTTTGAAGCAAAGTTAATATATGCTTGATATCTTACCTTCTTAACCTCATCATATGCATTAATTCTACCCTTTTGAGTCCATGATTCAAGTGAAGCAATCATGTGGGGTTGGACAAGGAGAGCAATGCCTCGGAGAGCGTCGGGCTGATTGATTACTTTCGTGATGTAGCTTTTCAGTCGTTCATGGGACTTTCCATGAACGGCAAACAACGATTTGTGACCCAGAAGATCATTACTTGGCCAAACTAGGGTGAAGATATCCGATGATTGGAATACAAATTTGTTGACCGCCGGAAAGCATGTTATGATGGATGGTGATCCAAACAGGTGTGTTCTATACATTCCTACTCCATCACCATACCTGATCCATAAGTTAATATTTCAATATATATTCAACTTTCAAAAATTGTTCTTTAGGTTACCTGGTGACAAAAGAATGTATGATCACTCATCTTTGAATTTGATATCAAGAGATTGGTTTAATCTTAACTCTTAATAAATATGGAATCTAAAGTTGAGTGTTCATAAATCCATCATCTCACCTGATGACCAAAAGAACGAGCCTCATGCTATAAGTAGAAATTTGAAGAACATTAAAGAAAATAAAAGCATACTTAGCCCGTTTAGCATTGATAAATTCATCTGGACGACAAAGAAATTTGAAGTACCAAAGGAAGGTGAGCAGTTCACCAATAAATGGAAATCCCATATGACCGGGCGGAAGTTTGGCACCAGTAGCTGAACGTTGTAGTTTGAGAGGAAGCACATACCAGAGCTCATTCCACCACCAGAAGAGCAACCCCAACAGTGGCAAACCTCCCAAAACCACAGCCGGCCATACTCCTTCAGAAATTTCCATGCTTTTGGAACAAACAAACACTGCAACACTAGTCGGTTTATCTTTTGACCAAAAAAAGTCGGTTTATCTTTAACAACTTATCCCTGATCTGTTAGATTGGATTAAAATAATGCATTAGGTATACCATCTTGGCATCTTGCTATGCGCCAAAAATCTTGTGAGTGTTTGGGAAGAGAGTTGAGATGGCAACTCGGATGCGTCAAAATCTGGGCTCCCCATGACAGCATTTTCACATATTTTGGTAGAAAGAACAAAAAAATCTTTAAAATGTTTTATTTATTAACATTCCATATTTTGTTGACTACACTCCACATAATAATTTAATATTAAATTGCTCATAAAATGACTATTTAAGCCCTTAAATGTTCTAAAAATTAAAAAGAAGATTCTAAATACACCCCAAGTTCTTTCTTTGAGTCATGCCTAAAATTTACATCTACGCTCTCACATAAGCAATATGACTATTTTTCCAGAAAAGAATGAAGAAGTTTTCCGTAAAAGTTTGAAAACTCAATGTGAAACTCCATCACTTCAATATATATACATACAACTGCAAGACTTAAACCCTTTTGCCTTCGAGTCGGTCTACGTGAGGCTTGTGTCCTTTTGTCTTTACTTTAATGAAAACCCATTTCGACTAAATGAAAAATTAAAGAATTATATAGGTTACTGATATGAAAATTGAAACGACAAATGGAGGAAACAAGTTTGTGAAGACGAATATGCGGGTTTGATGTGGGGTGTATGTGAAGAGTTTAGGGTGTGAGGGTAGCTTGGGAAAGAATGTGGGGTGTATTAAGATATTTTAGATGTGGGGTGTTTTTAGCATGTGGGGTGTAATCAACAAAATATGGGGTGCCAATCAAACAACACATCTTAAAATTTGTTTGAGTGGATATTTAATGCTGGGCTTAGTGAGAATGGAGGCCCAAGAACACAAAAAGCAAAGGAAGGGTTGGGCTTAAACAAGTCGACAGCCCAGGAAGAATTAAAAATCATTTTTTGCCAAGGAATAGGCAACAAGCCTATGTAAGAAATGACAATCAGAGGGCAGCTCACCTCTAACAAAGAGCACTTTTCAAGGGCATGAATAGGTAAATAAGTGGTAACTCACCATGTTCTGGAGGCCATCACCAAAAGGCAAGGCTTAGACAGTCGGGATAAAAAGTCTATAAAAGCAGCAAGGGGGACACCAAAGACAAGGACACTCAACCAATCAATCAAAAGACATCCAACTCTACTCTCAGATAAGCAAGAAACCAGAAAGCTTCATTTTCTCCAGACTCTACCCTTTTAGTCATAGATCCATCATAGAAAGCCATCTTTTGTCAAGTTTTAGAAGCTCTGTTACCTTTCCCCAGTATTGTAGTATCAAATCCCTTTAGTAAACTCGATTTACATCTCATTCTCCAAAGATTACAACCCTTGGAAAACACAAAGAGGAGAAGTTGCAAGAAGATGAATCTTGCCTGACAAGGTTATAATTTTGCTCGAGTCTATTTTGTTTGTACTTACATAAAATAGATTTGTTGTATAAAAATATCTTCCATTGTGTTTTAAATCAGTTTCAACTGTTTTTCGTTCAAAGTTTCATTATTGATTAATCTGGCTAAACCAATTAACCTTGCTTCTTTAGTATTAATTATAATCAAAGAAATGGTTGGAAGGGCCCTGAACTCCCTTTATCTGGACATACAATATTATGAGTAAAAGTCTTTGTTTACAAGGCAAGAAAAACAAATTTATACAGACTTAACCCATCTGTAACGATCCAACAGAATCAAGAAGTCTAAGTAACTTGTGGCGCAAGTAATCAACCCAGTTCATAACAAAAAAAGAACAATATGTTATACAAAGATGACAGTGGCACACTCATATCCATATTAGCTGTGATTATGAGCCTCAATGCCTAACAAAGACCCCACAAAGGCACCATTTAAACTAATAGTAAACTCATATTGCAGCACACTAAGCAGCAAACCTTGCCCGATAGGCAAGACTCGAAAGGAGTTGTGCGAGGGACAGATCTAGCCCGAACATTAATTTTGACATGTTCGGTGGGACTTATTTTGTGATATTGTATGCCAAGATGAAGGAATGATCAGACGTTTAGGTGGAAGATGCATTTCGGGCAACCTCTTTGTCCAACAGAAGCATGCATGACAGATCACCCAGAAGACTTTCCTTCACTACGCGGCCCCAGAATCTTAGAGAGCCAGATCTCTTCTGAGAAGTCGGGTAGAAATGTTACTAATGAAGATTTGCAAGCCACTATGGTGCAAGTATTGAGGAGTATGGAGAAAATCTCTCTAGAAACTAGAGGAGAAGTTAGCAGGTTGTGTTCCTTAGCATGAACGCTACAAAGAAAGTTGGAGTTAAAGTACTCCACACTGAATGATGGTTATACCAGGGAAAGAATCATGGAGGCAAGCCTAGAAAAAGAACCAGCAATTCTTTTGTTTCCTTTACTTGAAGAAAATAAAAACAAATGGAAAAGGAAGGAAGAGGCTGAAACCAGTCGGCAAGAAAAAAAAGATTTTTAAGAGACAGGCTTGCCCGATGCTCTGCAATCTCTACCAGATGTTAGAAGGCAAGTTGGGCAGGAAGGAATAAAGATTGTTGTGTCTAACTCGATGGGAGAAACAAGCCTCTTCCTTGCAGGCCACCACCATTGGCTAATAAGGGAGAATAGAAGCTAAATGGAGACAACCAAACACATAGAGGGAAGCTTTCTCGAGCATCGATCATAGCCCGAAGTGGGAGACTTCTTATACCCCACACAATAATATGGCTAACCAAAACTCAGGAACGAATTAGCATAATTAAGAAGGATGGTGGTATGGAATGCTCAATCGCAAGCCTACCCGATGCTTAGGATAACATATCAAAAGCTTTATCCTGAGTACATTGATGAGCATAATCATTTCCCTCTCAATTTTAAGATGCCCGCATTCTTGACTTTCAGTGGAGAAGACTGTAATGTATCTTCCAGAGATCACATTTTCAAGTTCTCAAATCACTGTGTGGCGTTCGAGGACAACCCTAACTACAAACTTGGACTGTTTGGAAACTCATTGGTAGACTTGGCTTCTCAATGGTACTTTCTATTACCCCCTAATTCTATTGCCAACTAGGGGCAGATGAAGATGGCCTTTCATGAGTAATTCTATAGGGTGCAACCTGAAATGACCATTAATGATTTGGTGGAAGTAAAGCAATATGAACTTGCTTCTATGGAGGATTTTATGATGAGATTCAGGAAGACCAGGATGAGGTGCCAGTTCCCAATCAACCATACCCAACTCATAGCCATTGCCCAGAAAGCTTTGAGACTACCTTTGAGGAAGAAATTCTATGATGTGCAGTTTAATGAGCTTCAGGAGCTGGTGATTGGGGCCGCTAAGTATAAGAAGTTGTTGGAAGAAGAACAACAAGTGAAGCATTCATCTAAACTAACCTTTTTTTATAAATGCAAAGTGTCAATACATCAGCTTAAGTTTGAAGGTCTAGAGGCAAGAGAAAGTGATAACAGCTTGGGAGAGGGGATAAAGTTATGTGCTGCAGAAATGACCACTCATTTCAAACCTTTAATGGTGAAGGGATTGGTTCAATCCATTAAAGACCAGAAGATCGTGATGAACAATGGAGACTTTGTACCCATGAAGCCTTCAAAGTATCAGTCATATTCCTTTGATTTATCTAAGGCCACATACATCTATGAAGACTTGGTGAAGGCTGAGTAATCTTGCACGATAGCACCAAGAAGATGCCCAAACCGAAAAAACTTAAAGGGAATAAGTATTACAAGGTCTACTACACCTTAAATCATTCCATTGCTAATTGTGTGCAATTCAGATATTGGATCCAATACCTTATAGTCAAAGGAAAATTATTACTAGAGAAATCCCAAGCCAACATGATGATTGTTATAGATCCATTCCCTGAAGCCTCAATCAACATGATAAATTATTGGGTTGAGAAGAGGAAAGGAAAAGTTACCTTGGATGAAAGAGGAGAAAGAATGGAAGCAGGAAGGCCAACAGAAAACGTCAGAAGGTTGCCAAACAAGCCCCAAGTACCTATGGTCAAATGAGTAATTTTGTGTAGCAAATATCAGTGTGAGTGTGAGCTCGAGGTACTAGCATCAGGTGGCATCATTGGTCGAGAGTTGGTTAGAAGGAAAAAGATAAAAGAATAGGACTTCCGCAAGAGTATTGTTCGGGCTGCTGAAATAAACAAGGAGACTACTAAGAATGTGTTCCAGAGGTTACGAGGAGATTCAGAGCCAAATGGTCTATCTGAAGTGTTTAGAAACTTTGAAGCCTTTGAAGAAATAGAAAATAAGGACACGAGGTTGCCACGATGGGTGGATGTTAAGACTCCCCAGCCAACCAACCACAGCAACATGAGACAAGGAAGGCGAGAAAGAACCATAAGCCCGATACCACCAGTTACAAAGGGGAATTCAACCTGCTTGAGACGAAAATGGTACATAGTGGGCAAAGACAGAAAACATGTCAAAGAAATTGGGACATCTATGATAAGAAGGATTCAGATGCAACACAAGGCTCATATAAACCCACTAAAAATTCTTGCTATTTTAGAAGCTTCTGAAAATGTTAAGTTCGAGAAGTTTACCTAAGGAGGAGAGAGACGACTTAGTTTGAGAAGCAAGAAATAAGTAAAGAAGGCTAATAACAAGGATAAAGGTCGAGGAGATCATGTTCCTTAAACCCTCATCCAGGGAAGTACATAGTATTAAGAAAAGCCCAAGAGAGCATGGTGATGGTACATACACCAGGTTGGAATCCAGAGCCTATTTGTTTTGGAACCATTTCTCCTAAAAGAGGGATGCCTCCACTACCACAGGAGGATGTTCCCTTTGGAACTCCAAGGTAGCTGCATGATTTCAACGCAATAAAAGAAGAGGAAGTGCCCGAGTTGATGTTAACCAAAGATGCCCAAGTATGGATGGATCAGTTTTTGTGCCAAATTGGGGAAAAGAAGGAAGGAACATCTGGACCTAGCAACGTTCATGTAAACATAACCTATGTATTATCATCCAT